ATTTTTTTAATCGCAAGAAATATGTTTTTATAGAAGACTTGCCTCTCAGTCTCAGTAAATACGATGACGATACTAGTCATCCTACAATAGGTGATTCTAGTTTGGACGAAGACGGCAAATCAGAGAACTGCGATCCGGAAAATTCGGAATACACCAGCATGTCATCATTGTTAAACAAAACCAAACCGGAAAAATATATTTTGAAAAAGTTCGTATACTTATTACCTACCTACCCTCATTGGTGGTGATCTGACTGTATTTAATTTGGTCGGCTAGATTTATAAAAGGCGAATTTATAGTTTGATTTCAAGAGGGGGGATCTGTTCTCTCAAAAATGTGTCAATAAGTTTTCACCAATGTTCTGTTTTTTAGTAACAAACCGGCTACGTTGGCGAAACACATCGAAAAAATGTTGACCAGACTCAATAAAATCGAGTACAGCGTTTTCACGTTCATGGGACATCGACAAGACGACCAGAGTGTAAATGAAGTACGATATAGACACATATTATCTTATGTTATAATGAAGATATATGCCAGTTCCATAACACAATAATGATGTTATATACAAAGAAAGTAACGCCGATCTGCACAGCTACATTGTAAAGTATTCTTTTAGGATCAACTCAAGATGTTGAACGCAAAGGAAATCAACAATACTATTTATTCGTTAGTGGACACGGTAAAACATTTAACCAAGGACAACGACCGGCATGATGTATTGATCGACGTGAGTAAAATAATAATTTGATCGTCTTAAAAAGTTCTAACGCGATGAATGTTGTCTTGTTGAATACATAGACGATTCATTCGGATTTGGAAAATATCGAGAACAACAAGATAAGTAAATCGGATTTGGAAAACGCCATTGCCGTCTTGCCGACCACCGAAGACCTCAACAATAAAGTGTCGGTGGTCGACTTCAATATCACTATGGGAGACCTCGACGACGCATTTCTGGAACTGCGCAGGATGAATTTGGACCAGGTGATTGTCATCAATTATAATGACAATAATTTATATATATTTTATTACCGGTACTACTTAATTATTATAGTAATTTCCCGTCACGTCGTTTGGTCGACTGCAAACGATATCGTATTATAATAATTGATTATACTATACAGGGAACTAAAGTCATGACGGCAATAACCGAAGTCATAACAAACGTCAATGAAAAAGCGGGAAAAGTAGATGTAGATGGCGCTTGCAAACTACTGGAAAGCAAAATTAATCATGTAGAAAAAGATGTGAAGAGATTGCTGGGAAAAGATCCAGAAGCCGCCGGAACCGTAAAATACATCAAGTAATACATTTATAATATGTAGTATAAAGACATGGAGTGAATAAAGAAAGAATATATATATATATATATATATATATATATAAAATAAAAAGCTTAAATGTCAATGACCAAGGGTGTACCACAGTGCACTGGAAAACCATGTAAAATATTCATCTGTTTTAATAATTCCTCAGGGATGTAACATGTGTCTCTTGCGCTTCTCCGGTTATGATACAAACGACCAACGGGACCAATCAAGGTAAACATAAAGACTTTCCGTTGCCTCGATTGAACATGCAGCCTTACATCGCATACGACCTAGACGGTTTAAGAAAATTACAAAACATGTAAGTACACCTACGTGTAGGTAAATAAAATATAATCAATGATTATAAATAACAATACTTGATTATGCAGTATTTGTATAATCAATGATAGTATCTTAGAAATCTATCATCTTTAATATTTTGAAGTATAAGAAATATACAATAGGTATTATATGGATCTAGTAAAATCATAAAATTTACAACCTACCCCAACACAATTATACACTAATATCAAATGAAATGAGTGCGATACGACAAATAATATTTGGAATTCTATATTGTTAGGGGTCACAGGCCTAAAGACACGTATGGTTTACACGGAATACTGCGTAATGCAGCCACCAGCAAGTAAGTGAAATGTATAAGTTACTTCTAAAATCTGTAATAACAAGCTAAGTGGTAAAAACATCAAAAAATCATTATCGACAATTACTTTTGGACCATTACTATTTTTACTAGATATTTTTTTATTTTAAGGAGCCTGGTCATGGTTTGTCACCCCCCCCCCCCCTCAAAACATAACTTTTTTGAAAAGACGGGAGTTAAAGCCTCGCGGGATAATTAGATTTTTATTTTATTTTTTAAGAAGATGACAGTCTACATATATTTATCTGATTTTATTTTAACTATTAAAAATAAGTAAAGTTTATAGCTAAAAAAAAAACCTATAAAACTAATTGTTTTATGTTTGTAAAAACCGTAGATTTATGCGGATTGAGACTAACAATAATTATGGTAAAAATACGGACAAAATATCTAATTAAATAGTTGGACAACCAATAATGTACTTAGTTGACTTAATAGCCAACTATTTCTTCGTTGATTCACCTGTTTTTATATTTTGTATATATTTGTTTATTTAACTATGACACTTTTACCATATTTATTATTATTGGTCTCACCGTGTAGTTTTTACTTTTTTCTGCTTAAACAAAAAAAAATATATCAAAACTAATAATAAAGTCTACACTCTTTACATTACTTGAGGTTACTGTCACTTGGATGTCTTGACTAGCTCACCAACGTTCCATCTTCAGAGCTGTGGTTCGATGTTGTTTAAGTGGGAGTAACCTCAAGTCATGTAAGGAGTGTAAATATAATACCCCACTCAAGTTTCAATAACTTTTTAATAGTAAAGCCATTTTTTTTATTAAATAGCCAAATTCGTAGAAAACATTGTGTAATATTATGTTACAAATCTTTAAGCTTTGTGAATTGTATATAGTAATTACCAAATGAAAATATTCGACAACAAAATTCATATGAAATAAATATTAAAAAGTAACAAATAATGACATTTTAAAAAAGTGTTGTTTTTGAATAATGAACTGGGTACAGATTTTTTATCATTTTACTGTTATCTCATATTATGTAGGTTATATCGTAATGGGTTGTGTAAATAAAATGTACTACAGAATCACGGATTTTTTATTTATTTAAATTTAAAAAACAAGTTAAACGTATTTATTTATATACAATATGTTTTAAAGTGTATTTAATTTAAACATACCTACATTTAGATTAGGAGGTGTTTTGATCTCGTTCGCTCAACAGACCTCCGAGTAATTATTTTAATCTAGATTCGCTTCTTATCCTGTATGTTTATCGATAGAATGATAAATATTATAATGATTGATAAATATTTATGTTTATTTATATGTTATTTTTATTTATTTAACTCTCTGCAGGAAACTTAACGAAACGACTAGAAGGTATTGTGGCGGTAACGACACAACAACTACCCCGAAACAACGTGTGACTAAAGAAGTATACATTAATGATGCGAGTTATACCATCAATGGAACAGATCCAATAAAGGCACCGCCATCATCGCCTCAAAACAGAGAAGTCAAGACGGAAAAAAATTAGTTTTGTAGAGAAAATTGCAGCCAAATAAGTTACATCGGATGTAAACTCTGCGAATTTAGATATTTTCCCATAAACAGTATTTGCTTTAAAAAATCACACAATATTTGTTTGTAAATAAAAAATCGAAATATTCTTCTTTGTCCGTATTACTAGGTATACGGTACGTTAACAAGGTGTGATTTGTTTAACCTATTATACATAAATATGCCACCTCCCCATATTTGTCACACTAAAATAATTAATTACAAAATTGCCATGGGAACATTTGAATTTTTGGAAAACCAGAAGACTTGGAGGTCTGACAACGCAATGGATTTTCAAATATTCTTTTCGTCGTAAAGGTTTATCAAAAATACCCCTGATAATATTTAAGTTGTTTTAACATAATATAAGGTCCAGAAGAATTTAAAATTTCAGAGTCAATTACAAATATTTATTTATTAATATTTTATAAAAATCGAAGACTAGATTTTTCATCCAAATACTTTGATTTTAAAATGGAACGGAATGCCGAAAGGGCTAAATTTTATTCAAATAAAGACTAAAACACATTGTCACTTTCTGAAGTGTTTACCGAACCGAACCGATTTAAATTTGCTTTTTTGTTATAAAATATTTACTATCGTTTACGGAGGCTATAAAGATTAAGGCCGAATTCAATTTTATTTAAATAAGCGTTTATATTAATAATTTTTTGTAGTTTTTTCTAAGAAAACCTTACTAAGTGCCTAATAGATAATTCATAAAAAAAAGTAGAAAGTACCCAAGTATCATAGTTAAATTTTATTTTGTTGGTGCATTAAGGGACGTTGTATTAAATAACCTAATTGGCGATTTAAATTATTCCAATGACTAAATCTCTAGTTAATTGTTTAATTAAAAATAAAATGATTATTATTTAACGTACCATACTAATAATAGATGACTTATTTACTACAATAAAATATTGTGTTAATTGGTTGGCTGCAACAACCAGTTATGCCCAAAAACAAAATTGGACGTAACTGGTTATTGGTAACCATTGAAAATATAAATATCATAGTTTTTTAATTTTTATAAATATTATAATAAATATAAAATGTAAACCAAAGGAAATGGGTTTAATTGATGTATCTTATTCTTACAAAAAGAATAACACCATATTTTCAATTTTTGGTTCATTTACCAATTTTATAGATAGTTTTTTATGTTTCCTGAGCAATCATTTCGAAAAATTGACGTACCTGGTCATTGCACCGGGGCCTTCAATTTTTGTCAAATATTGCCTATCCTATGCCCCTCGATAAATAACCTTTTCCGTTCTACTTAAATCGAGTTGGAATTTTTTTGTTTTCGGGTTCGCCTATACCATGCCTACGACAACCGCTTGCGGTGGGAGACAATAAACGGGGCGTGGCCGTTGGCCATTGGCCCGTTGCCGGGTTTGGCCCCCTTTACGCTAGCGGCGCCCGGCGCAGCCGTCACCACGCGTCCGCCTGCCGACAGTACCTTCTGCACAGACGCGTCGCTGTGACCGCCGCCGTCGCCGCCACCGCCGTTGCCGCTTCCGACGTTTGTTCTCTAGCATATTAATTTGATTTTTTTTTCGTTTTTTTAACGAGGGTGCTGTTTTATCGTTTCCCTTGCCCTCTTGCCGTCGTTACCTACCTTACAAAAAAAAAAAACCCTACGTTCACCCGGAACCCCCCCCGTCCGCCGCGTTGATTTGCTCGCGCCCTGACCGAAGGGCCCATCGCCGCCTGCAGTAATAACTCTTGCATCAAAATTGGCCGCGTCAAGCAGAATCCGGTTCGCGTGGCCGCTGGCGAAACGGTCGCAGCTCAGCGCACGGTAAGTGAGCTTTTTGAGCGGTTTTTTAAGTACAACAAAATAATGGCCTAACGGGTAATGCGGGTCCAGTAGCCGTTTTCGTACAATAACCGGGGCAAAGCTCGGACTGACTCGCCGTTTAACGCCTAGAGGGCGCTGACCACAATGATTACGGCCTACGCACGCTATTAGGTACACAATATAATGTAGTAATATTATTGTGCGCTTTATTATTAACCATAACCTAATAATATTTAAACGGCCCGTCAACGGCTTACCATACACTATACATTATGCCTGTATAGTGCGAGTAGGTACGTTGAATGTGAGTCAAAAACATCTATAGTCTCCTAATACTGTCAATAAATAAAAAAAAATGGTACCTCTGCCTATCAAATCAATTAAAACCTCCTAATCGAACGACCGCTCGCGGATTAAGTGCAAATGACGGATAAGTGTTGGAGCAATAAATTCATAAACCTCACATATTGCTCATGATCGATTAAAACGCTATAAAATCATAATTATACGCGCTATAAAGTATGTGCAGTCGTGTGCAATAACCAGTCGACGGTTGCACAACGTGTTAAAACTGTTGTTAGATAAAAGTATATTATTTTTTATGTATCGCGAGTTTGTGTCTATTTGGATATTTGCATCTCGATAAAAGGTAATAAATAATATAATCAAATCATCTTCGTTGTCACAATTAGGTATGTACCCACAAAGTGGTTTCCCTACTTTATGATGTTAGCGGTTGTATGGTTAGCGCGGCATTGTGGTTTTACCATTGCTTTTGACAAAACAAACAATGTCGCTATTATATGTGTGTAGTCGCCGAATAAATTTGCCTAAAATATAATCTGGTAATTAATTTGTGAAGGAAAAATTTGGAAAGTGTTGAAGCCACTAAGTAAGATTTGGTTTGGCTAGGTTAAGGAGAATTATTTTCTATAGCCAAGTACTGGAATATGCTGGTCGAAGAAGGAGAATTTATTTAAAAAATAATTGTTTTTCATTGCTCATTAATTATAAGTAATCACAAATTCCTATGTTCAAGTACCATGGTAACCACGGTACTCGAGCGAATGGTAGGCGATGATTAAGGAACAGGCCGATTCTGGGGACGCTATTAAACATTGGAACTGGATCTGGGACTGGGACCGGGACCAGGACTCGGACCCTTGAGTAAGAGGGAGACATAATCAATGTCATGTACATATGTAGATAAAAAAAAACCGAGACCGGGGTATGCTTAAGCTCTACAATATACAACCTGGAGTACTGAGTTTTTTTTATCTTATTTGTAATTATTTTACTCGGCCCTGGCAAACCAAATCCCGGGCAACGCCGAGTCCGGGGACAGCTTGTAATAAATGAAAATGAATGAGTAAATAAAAATATAACCGTCTTAAGCGTGTAGGTTTCGATGATTAGTATCGGATGTCCTTACAAGTAGACTTCGGATGCGTGTACGGAACCCCAATAAAACACGAGGACTATAACGGCCACTAAAATATAAGTGTAAGTGGTTATCTTTTGAGGACCAGAATGTCGGCGGGGGCCGCGCAGTTAGTCTGTGAATCGTCTTCCACCATAGCTACTGTCTACTTCATCTGTTGAACCTGATTACAACACACACACACACATCTTATAATACTATTCATATTATTTTGTTCAGTCTAAGAAATAGCGACGTTTTATTATGATTTGTGGCGTATAGTACAATGTATTCACATGCTATGTCGTCGAATTTATAGCTAATGATCTGAAACATATTTTGACCGCCAAAACGGTAAAACTTTAGAAAATGTTCAAGTTCTGTTTGATATGATAATTAATGAAAAAAGTAGTGTAAGAATACATGTAATAGTCATATTTTCTTGTCCCCGCGGCCCACACAGTATTATGTTATTAGAAACTCAATTTATTTTAATATCGTTTCATTGGAAAATTATAAAATATTTTTTCATTATGTTTTCGGCAGAAAATCAAGTATTAACTTGATTAGTTTGTGGGTTTTATAAGTTCATGTATAATTTTATAGTTATACCTATACTATCAAATAAACGCGGTCCATTTATTGTTATTTTAATAAACGAGTAAAATGCAATTAAATGAAAATAAATGCGCTTAATAAATGGCCTTAGCCGAAGAAGCGTTCGAAGAAATTATTTTACACCCTTCAGTGAAATGTGTAAATAATAATTATTATTGTTTACTAATCGTCTGGCTTACATTAGGTATATGTAACTTATGATAATAATATAGCCGGTTTATTATTTATAACTTATAAGTATCGATATTTATATTATTCGTGGTTTGATTGCGGGTCGCCGACAAAAAGTGACTTGACAAAAAGTCGGGTCGAGAGCCACAAATAGGGTTAGTCGTTTTATTTACTTGCATGTATAAATATATTTGTTTTTATAGTCATCCGACAGAGTGAAAATCCTTTTTATACAATGCAAACATGTTTGTCTGGTATACAGTCAAGGCCGCCAAAGAGGTGGTATGGTCGGTGGTTTTTATAAGGGTAAAAAAAGATCAGTTTTTTGAGGATCCGGGTTCAAAAAAGACCTGCGATTCTATTGCAAACAGTGCCGGTGGTATACGATTCGGTGACAATAGCAGGGGCGGCTTTTATTTATTTGATTTCAACACATATCGCATCGGCGACATCAATAAGTCGGTCACGTCTTATCTACCCTAAACTGCACGCGCATCTAGCTGGTCTAATATCCAATAAGGATAATAATAACAATAAAACAATATTATAAATATTGCGTAATGCTACCTCAATAAAAAAATCTCACTTTATATAATTTGAATTCAAAATCAGTTAACTCGAAAAAAGAACATAGGTGTATTAGATAATATTTTAGAAAGGTTAACCATAAAATTTTAACCTTAACCATAACCTTTTTTTTTTTATGTAGTCAATCGGGCAAATTTATTGTGGAAGTTAATGTCGTTATTTAAAATATTTATAAAAGAACCTCCCCGTTTATTAATATTATTTTATCATTTGGTTTGAGTATAGGTACGTGTATTTTTATTGCCCGCATAATATTATAAGAATATTATGTTTTACAGCGCATTGTTAATATCATTTTTATATTAACGTTAAGCAATTACCAGTTTCCTATTTTATTCGTCGAGCTAGCGCTTTAATACCTTAGGTAGCTATTGGCTGAAACCCGTTAGATTAAAAGCACTTATATTATGGTAAAAATCGTAATGGAAATCGTATTTGTCAACATTTATTCAAATGATATATAGACCAGTTTTTTTTAAAAACTGGTTCGTTAAACAAAAAGTGCAGATCAGTAGTTTATTAGTACAAAAACATAATGGTCGATAACCATTTAACCCGTTAAACTACATTTTTTTTAAAATTTATTAATAAAACCGAAATTTTTTTTTAAAAAAACCTATAAAATAAACTGTTAATGTCTATTATCATCTTATACAGCCTTATTCCTTACTAAGGACTCTTTTGAAGTGACAATATCCTGTTTTTTACCATATTTTTATAATAACAATTATTTTAAGTAGTTCATATGACTGTCAGTGGCGTAGTTACGGGGGGGGATTAGGGTGTCGTATCCCCCCCCCATGACCTTTTTTTTTTTACTGGCCATAGGCTCAACAAAATATTTATGTACTTATTTAACATTATTATAGTAAAACCCCGAATCTCCTATGTACCTATATAGTTTATAAATATAACTAAAATAATAGCAGTCGATTGAGTTTTTTTTATTGCGGAGCGACGATGCACATCAACAATGTCGTCGTATAATGTACGTCAATAATCAAACAATATTATACTTGTGTAAATGCTCTGAAAATAACTGATGGATTTATACACGTTATCGGAATTTTCTTAACAACTTTTTGTCTCATTCGATAAACGGTATGTGGGCATTAAGATTAAGCATGTGGTCAGTGGTAACAAATTACAATCAGCAGTGTGAGCAACTGGATAATAGTTGACAACAGTTTTCACTATATTATGTATACTGTATAGTGTATTAAAATATAGTTGTGAATTGTGATACGTGAATCATAGTAAGTCAACTAGGTACACGAGTTTAGACTTAAGTTATTTTATTATTTAGTTGTGTCATAGAGAAGACAATTTTTTTTATAAGTCTAAAAATGGAAGGAAAAAGAAAAAAATGTAAAAATACTAGAAATACACTTTTTTTATATTTTTCAAAAAAAATCGTTCTATTGAAAATAAAGAAGATTGTAATAAGGTAAGTATCTTTATCGTTTTATATGTTGTTTCATCACTCCAATTTTTGGTAATTTGGTTTATTTTGTAAAACAAGCAATATAAAAGCAATACGAAATTGTTTAGGTATTGTTGAAAAATTATACAATTTTTTCAATACTCCCAAACGAAATCATGTGTTATTATGTACTATCGAAAACAGTAATGTTGATCAAAAAATAAAAACATTAAAAAGGCTATTTGCAACTCGATGGGTGCAAAGATACGATGTGATTCATGATTTCATTGAGCTTTTTAAGTTTGTAGTAGAAGCTTTAGAATGAATATCAGATTGGAAGGATTCGTCTGCTACGGATGCATCAATAATTCTAAAATCAATGGACTCTGAATTCCTAATTTCAGTTAATATTGTTCAGGTAAAAACAAAATTTTTAATTAAAAAGAAGGTATCTTAAGTCTATTGCGATTACCTGATGTATTTTTCAGCTAATGTTTTCATTTGGCTTACCGTTATGTAAATAATTACAAAAAACCAAAATTGACTTAAAAGAAGCCATTGATCTCGCACAAGATACTATCAATGAGTTATGTACATTATTGTTAGTTACATACTGTTATGTTTATTACAAAAAAAGAGCTATGTACATTATATTATATTATATTACAAACAAAATAAATGTACTTGAAAATTAAGTAGTTTGTATTTTTGTGTGTACAAAAATGTCTATCCCCCCCTAAGACAAATTCCTAATTACGCCACTGATGACTGTAATAGTAA